CAATGGACTATCATAAATGCGAGGAGGGTCATTAAGTGAATATCTTGGCAAATCGTCCATGTCTCGTGTTCTCATGGGGGGGAGGGGGCCTGCAGGAGATTTGGAATCTCTGTTCCGCTGTTGCTCTTTATCCAGCGGATGTACATCTTCAAACTCGTCTCTCTGTTGGTCCGCAGCATCAACCGTCGACCGTTGTAATCTAGCCTTTTCTTCCATTGATATCTCAGAATGGGTCCACGTCCCTCCTAAAACGAAGTTATTGACGCTACGCGCACCAAGTAAAGCTTACAACGTACCTCCATATCCCGCCTCTATGGGTAATCCATCCTCGTTTGAATATAAATCAACGTCTTGTATCACTGAGGGCCCCGCATTCGACTGGTTTCGGTAAGGGTCAAACTCTTCGTAGGGATTGAACTCGCGTGTCGACGTATATGGTTCAGGTGAAAGTGCTGAGAGCCGGGACGTTCTTCCACTGGTATCGGCAAGAGACACGTATTCTGAGCGCGGCGCCGGGAATATTTTATAGCCCATACTCGCTCGAGAAGCTCGTGCTGTGCGTTTCTCCCTTTGGATCTGGTTCAGATAACGTGCAACGATGATGGCACCATCTAGAAAGAGTAAACACATGGACAACGGAGGTGAACACATGGACGGACACATCTCAACGAGTAGAATCAATGCTGCTATGACAAAGTAGACGCCGCTGGCGATCTGTAGTATGCCAATGCATTGCTCTTGTGTACCAGTGTTCTTTATGGTGTCTTGACATGCTTTGGTGGCAGCATTTTCAGAGAAATGGGTGATGAGCCATAGCAGATAGGCGGCGACGCCCACGTTGATGAAGAAATGAACATAAATGAAGTACGCGTAGATTCGGACAAAGAGCTGCTTCCGAACTATAGCGCCGACAAACCTGAGGAATTTAAAATGAAAGGGCAGGCGGATCTCAGGTGAACGTGACTTACCCGAGGATCGAAACTACACACAGGAACGTCTCTAATAGGCCGGCCAGAACAAATCCAGCACGTTCTCCGCTTGTCAGGTCGGGTGTGCCTTTCAAAAGTTCAGTTACTGACCGGGTGGGAAAGAAAATGTAGAAACCGTACTAGCCACCTCGTACCACAAGATAATTGTCAGGATTCCAGGCAAGATGATACCCAAAAGCGACATGGCGATGACGCCGGCCCTTACGGGCAGGCAGCAGCAGAATTGCGTCCCACCGAAGAAGAGCTCCCGATAGCTGAAGGGCATGGACGACTTGGAAGTTAGAGTGGACAATGCCGGCAAGTGAAACGGCGATGTTAATGCTGCATGGCCAATGTTGATGAGGATCAAGACTTCGGTGTTCTCGCAGACTTGCACAGCCTTCGAAAGCAGGGAATAGCCGACGCGTAGACGCTCTTGTTCGTTCCAAGAATGATCTATGCCGTTGTGGAACCAGCTGAAACGATAACCTTTTACACCTTAAGCGCTTAGCTCACTAGTTCCACTTAAGACCTAGTCTCGGACATTTTCCAGCTCTATAGCGACGGTGATGGAGAAATTCCCGGAGATCAATTCCGTGCTGTTGCTTGCCCTGTAAACAGGATCTCATCGAAAAATAATTAGCGCCAAACGGAACATTGATCTTTCACACGACACGGGACATTCCGATTTCTTTCCAACAACCACCAGTCCTGGCAAAGTTCAAAGACAATCCTGATAGAACGGTAAGTACTGCGCAACTGTATCGTTCAGATAGGTGAAGATCTATCTAAGAAAACCCTCGCAGATTCCCTGTGCTTTGCCGCAAAATATTTCGTCCCTGACGCTGACGCGGCCCGTTCTGACATTTGAATAAGCCGACTTCGCACGGATCCTATTGGATCCCTTTCAGGCTTCACTTCCTCATTTTCATGCCATAAGAGTAAGCCCTTCGTAGTGTACATAAGGCATGCAAATTGTGCACTCCGACATCAATCCTTTCATCTCTCGACACTCAACTCGTCCTATCGCTTCACCAAACTGGCCGTTCAAACATAAATACTGTTCATCTCCCCGGGCAGATTTCCATCCCAAAGCTGAAACCTTCTACATTTGCCTGGGGGGGTGAGGAACATATCGAATGTTAATGGTGGTGACGCGCTTGACTGTCGATCTTAACATGGGTTCTGGTGAGTCACTTATTAAGTGGCTACAGCCTACAGGTCCTAGGGAAAGCTGAACTGTCGCGCTTACGTGCAGCCTCCGCTATCGCATTTCTTCTTTGGTAAGTCGGTTTTACAAAGGTGCCCTAGATGATTGTTAAATTCGTTCAGGGAACTCGCGATAACATTCGACCGTGAGGTGGATTTTATTTGGTCGTAAGCCCCCTCGCTTAAAATTTCCGGACAAATCCTGGATGTCTTTCCTTTTAGCAAACCGAGAACCTCTTGGATTAAGTGGGCATTTCTCTTTGCTCGATACTTTCCTCTCTTGGCCGGAACGTGCGCTCAATACCCTCCAGCTATCATACTGCGACTAATGAAGTGTCATACTAGTTGTGGCCGTGTTATCGATTCCTTGGTCTTGTATAAGGATCCAATTCCCATATCGCTCAATGCCTTGCGCATCTGGTATATCTGTCAGGTTCTAGTACTCTATCTGATGATGCTGGGAGCGGAAATTGTTATGATGGCTCGAGGTCCGTCTTTTCCTATGCGTATACTTAGGCAGAAGTCCTGATTTTCATCTAGTCTATGCGTTGTATAATCGCAATCGATATATTGGAGGGGTGTTCCTTCTCCTTCTTGTTGGTGAAAGTACATCGGTCATAGTTGGCCTCGCGCTCAATTTGCCAAGCAAAAATTTCGATTCTGGCGACCTAATAACAACCTCCTCGGACTCTTACATTTATTTCGGGTATGTCTTCTATTCGCAATACTAGTAAGAATATCTCTGAATCCTCCATGTAGAGTCTCGGCAATGATTTCACAAGTCGTCATTCTTGCTTTTTCTATATATCGATATATCCGTGGGGACTGGAGAGGCGTTCCATTAGTCTCCCTCATGATTCGGGACGGAACTCTTGCCTTTGGAGTACTTTTCTGTACGTAGCCATCCTCAATCACTTGAAATAATTTTAACATCAGTGTGGTATAGTCGTTTCTTGTCTGCTGGTTATTTATACGGCAATGGATCTCACCTATTCCACACCCACATCCGCGTACGTGGGCTGTCTTTCGAACAATTACTCCTAGTTGACGAGTGACAGATGGCTGATCAACTTCATTTCAGCGGCTGTTCGTATCTACCTCTTTTCACACATACAGCTAATACTCATTTCTATTCACAGGAGTGCCGACTTATTCTGAATTTGCAGGAGATTCCTCTTCCAAATAGTACTTACCGGACTTCTGATACACCGCTGACGACATTCCTCGTGGACAATAGTCGACTAGCAACGACTGCAGATCTGGAAAATCAAACAGTAAGCCGGCCTGTCTGAATTATCTTCGCCATCTTCGTACTAATCCTAAACAGAACGTTACAACCCCATGACATTCACACCCTTTTAAGTCTACCATGGCACTGTATATACTAGCATCATCTGTACTATATCAATTGGGCGGATTTCGGAAAATTGAATCAATATACTTATACAGTAATGCTTCATGAGTATCCCCATAAAACCGGTTTACCGGGCTGCGAATCAGTGCCATCTAAGTTGACTTGTACCTTTCACTGCAAATTTCCTGCTACGCCTTCTGTGGAATGTGGAAGGAGAGGAGTAGACTTGGAATGGAAGAAAACACTAGGATTTTTCAGGTACGCGTAGTACTTAGAGCACGTAATTAGACACTTTCTTCTTTTCAACCTTTACCTCTGTATACAACTAAATTTTTTAAAAATACTGCTACAACAGGAAAGGTCGCGCCGAAAGCCACAAATACTGAATCTAACAAGACGTAACAAGATTAAAATCAAACTTGAGGTTTCCGATTGTCATCATGTGTGCCATATCCCGGCTGTTGTGCATCAGAATAGGTGCAGGCAAACCATCCAACGCTACCACCTGGAACTGTTTCGAACTAAGAACACTTCGCATCGAGAAGCTTGTAAGGGAGGTGGAAGGTTACCAGCGTATAAACTGACCTGGGATAGCCTGTTGATTTTCTTTCCTTCACCAGTCGCAATAATCCTATCCGTCGCAAAACCTTAGTTCCTCTACAGAAAGGCTGCAGAAAAACTCTTTACCAATCCACATCAGTCAGGACAATAGGCCAGGACTCGCTAGCTAGAGAAAGACACGTGAGAGTTGCGATCGAAACGCGTCTGAGTCGGCGGTCAGACTTGCCGGTCGAACTTGGCTGGCTGGGAAAGAAGGGCAGCATATGGCGTCAATGATATCATTAATAATGTCTTCCCCGCCGCCCGCGCGCGTTCCTGTAAGAAGTTAGGAGTGAAATTAAAATGAATATGGCGTCACTCGGACCTGATCACCGGACTTTGAGCCAAAAAAGTCGCCGCGGCTATCTTGTTGATACCTGTTATAACTACAAGATCGTTGATCTGTTTCGATCCTCTTCTCGCTCCACCACTATCTCGACAATATATCTTATATTTTGCTTGTATTCTGTGTGCGTCTCCTCGGAATTAGTCAATATTTCTGCTGCAATGGGCCTTTGGCCGCTGCGTGCCACGTCACGGCATCGACTTCGAGTTCTGTGGACCCAACAACCAAGTGTACCTCTGACTTGAACCTCAACTACTACCTGCGCAGCTTGCGATACTAGAGACCATGCCGACTGGTCCTTCAACTGCTCTTGTATGGTGCCCATGCGCAAATTGCAAGCGCGGTAACTTGAAACAAGATTCCCAAACTGCCGACAATCATAGGAAGCTAAGCTTGAGAAAGCAAGACAAGCAGGCTCTCACCAGAGGAGACAAGGGAAGGTGTTGGATAGGTCGTTCTGGAGGTGCGTGAGCATCTATTGTCTGCGGGACCTGTTTCTAACTCTATCGATAATCAGTATGCGTCATTTCGAGATGCTATGTAGAACTGGTGGTGGTGGAGGCAGCATGAGTTTTGGAGCATGGCCGGGTGTCGTTTCTCGTGAGTCCATCCGTTTTACTTCTCGCGTCATTGACTTGGAGAAAAATGATGCATTTCTAGGAGTACTGGTCAAGAGAGGCGTTGAAGAATGTGAGGAAGATCTGGATGCTGAGGTATCGAAGATGGATTCACGAGCAGCTCTGGCCTCCGACGCGTCGGACTGACCGAAGTTTTTAGGTGTATTTGGAAGAAAGGGTGTCGACGCCCGTGAAGAAGACGAAGCTGAAGTACTGAAGAAGGATTTGCGAGCAGCTTCATTCGTCTGGACCGTCAATGCTTTCGTGGGAGGGGGAAGGATGTTTTGCTGCATCTCGTGTTGTCTAGATGGTGGATCTGCAGGTGCGTGAGTCCTCCCATTCGGAAGCTGAGTGTTAGCAAACTGAGACTCCTCACAGTCATTGTCCAAAGAACTGGAAGCCAATTGTCTCGATGGCTGAGGAGGCGGCTTCATCTTCTGTGGCTTTGATGGCCCATGAGGTCTGAGTCATATCATATGGTTCATTGGCGGCAGAATCTTCGTAAGTCACGGTTTCGATGAAAGTGGAGGTCAAATTCATTGTGGCAGCATCTTCAGCATTGTCGAAAGGATTATCATCTACATCCACATAAGCTACGAGGGTTGATTCGGAAGACACAGAACAGGCAGCGGGAATCTGGTATTGCGAAGCAGAATGGACATGGAGCATTGGATCGATGTTTGGCGTTAAGAGGGTATATGTCGCGATATTTGCATGGGCTGTTGTTCTTGGGCAATGGTCAATGCATAAAGTGAGTGATTATTGTCATATTGCTCTTCTATTCCGTTGAAATTAAGGGCCTTGTGGTCAAGGGCTCGTTTCCTGGATGGCGAACAGTATGAGCAAGTCGTCAAGATGTTTAGCAGCAAACTACGCACGACGTAACAATATCAGAGCGAGCCACTGCCTCCTGCACGCTAAACGGAGGCTCCCACTGCACTGGCACTTGAACATAAGGATCTAGAAATTGAGAGGTTTGTATTTGATTCGGAAGCAGATTGAGTCACGTCTTCCAATGGAACTGGTGCGCTTGTCGTTGTCTTCTTCGGCTTTTTGGTCCTTATTGCATCCTCTGTAGAACCAGTTACAGGTCTCTTAGTGGGCACACGAAGCTTGCCTTTCGATTGGTCTGCTGGACGATTTTCACCGCCAGGACTCCGATTGGTTTGTTGACGTGGGGGATTTTCGTACTAAGGGGTTTGCCGTGAGTCCGAGATGATCTCGTGGTGTTTGTTGGTTGTGCACCCAAAGGAGCCATTAAACACGTTGCCTCGACCAATCTAGAGCGCGTTGTCGTCGATGTAGCGGTGGTAGACGTAGATACGACGCGGCACCACATCCTGTATATCCGGTGCTTAGAACTTGGAGTCTGTTTTGTCATGCAATTACTGTATTCGTTCTGAGGCCCGAATTATTATTATATGCTACGAAATGCTGCCTGTGCCTGAACACAATATCGACCCAATATACCTTCATTAGGTCATATAACGCCTGCAAGGCCCACATCAGGGGCAAAGCCTGCTACGTTGACCCCTCTTGAAGCCTTGTTCTTTATATAATTATGATGGTTTATAATAAACCAAGTTTATGTATAATTGATTGATCCTGCGAGGTTTACTGGCTATAATTCCTGCAGGAGAGATTGAATCAAGGCCCAAGGGTTATTCAAATCTTGGCTTGCGGAAAAAACTCAAAGTCATAATCAATAATAGTCAGCATTCAAAAAATAGTAGTATGAATGAGAGAGTACTACCCCTTGAAATGATTCACTCAGTGGTGGTGGCTTCTGCTGCTGAGAGAAAAAGACTCGCTCGGTGGCGGCATTCTGCCGCCACCAGCTCGCATTTTCTCTCAGGGTTCAGTCAGAATCCTTGGCAAGATCGGCCGAACAACGCCGCAGAAAGCGTGATAGTAACAGAGGGTCACATGTAAACAGTGACAAGCGGTGACTGTGCCACCCCGAAATTCTGACTTAAACGGAAATTTTGAAGCGCTGGGCCGTGAATTTCTTCCACAAATAGAAAATTCTATGACATCGGACTTCGGGTTAAACTCAAAACTCGGCTACCACCATCCCTCTATAAGACCTACTACTAACGTAGCAGGAATAATGGTCCAATATTGGCCTGTCCGACTATTTTGCTACTATATATTGAATACCGCCTGTTTTGAGAGGATAGTGTCTGGCTACTATTTCGCTTGAAGCCCGGTGGATACCCGTACCTAGATATATCATACACAAGGTCTTTAATCAGACCAGGTGCACAAGAAACAGAAAAGTTAAATGAGTCACGCCAACTCCACTATGGTAACGGGTATGACGGTCGCAGCTTTCGAGAACACCGAGACGTGACATTTTTCATATCTTTCACCTGATTGGACTTCGATCCCGACTCCGTATGGAGGGCCATCCCAAACCTAGAGATAGAATGTTTTCTGGCAGAAGACGAGTCCTCGTTCCCAGACCTGGGTTTGTGAAAATCATAGTGAACGCTAACAGCGGAGCAGGGTTCTGTCAAGTGTTCATTATTGGATACTCTACTATTAGAGTGTTGGCATCATTCACATCCCTCTGCAACGGGGGTCAACCTTAACCTCTTTCTATTAGCAGAGCAAAAATGCCGAGATACGATCATCCTGCAAGAGTGTAGCGCAGCTAGGAGACTGTCGGTGTAGGGCGTTGTGTTTCGGTAGCTTGCGGACTTAGTTACATGATACATCTTCTTTCTTCTTCTGTAGTATTGTCTGGATGACGCTCATGTTAGCCATAAACGAAGAAACGCTGAACAGGCTCACGAAGCAACAGTTTATCCGTGCCCGAGAGGTTCCTCCGAGATTTCTGCCATGTCCTGATCTTTGTGGTGAGATGTGTCCAAAAATCAGAGAGGCTGGCAAGTCACGGTGAAACTCAATGAGTTCTCGACTCAGTCGGACGACGAGATGGAAGAAGTTCACCTTTAGGGAAGGTTCTCGTGGCCCAACAACGAGTTTACATGGGAAGGGTGAAACAGTTCGCTCGAAGGTCGCATGATCGACAGCTTGCGCATTGGCGCCCTAGGCTAACGCACCTTTCTTTCTGTGATCAAACTTCGAAACGGCCCGGATACACACTGCTAGGCACAGCAACAGGCGACGTTTTATGAGGACGAAAAAGGCGCTAATGTAAGCGGATCGTGTACCTTGTTCCCCGTTCTATACATAGTCGTTGACGCAAAGCTCTCAATGTCCTGGTCGTGTCGAAAGGTTGCATCAGAATATGCTGCAGCCAAGCCAGCAGGGGAATGAGCATTCGGAAATACAGACTGTCCAGACGACGTTGGAATACGCCCATGAAGCGACTGCGTAGGAGAAGAGTTGGCTACTGTGGACGTACATCTGATGCGAGAGGGTGCGAGTGGGTACTGCCTGCCGTATGTTATTATTAATATTAATTACGACCCACCCAATGGCGTGCCGGGCTGGGGATTCCAATAACGGTCCGGAAACCCCTTGACCTCATTCTCATGCCATAAGTATTATAAGGCCAAGCCCTTCGTGTGCATAAGGTATGCGAACTGAGATCGCTCCTTCCTCTCCCGATACTCTCATCTGGTCCTATCATTTCATCAAACTGGCTTTTCAACCATAAATACTAGTTAGTCTTCCCAGGCAGATTTCCATCGCTGAAAGCCTTCTACATTTGCCTGGGGGGCGAGGAACATATCGAGTTTTAATGACGGTGACGCGTTTTACTGTTGATCTCAACATGGGTTCTGGTGAGTCACCTATTAAATGGCTACGGATCCTAGGGAAAGCTGACTTGTCGCGCTCACGGTGCAGCCTCTGCTATCGCTTTTCTTCTTTGGCAAGTCGATTTTACAAAGGTGCTCTAAAAGATCGCTAAAGTCGTGCAGGGAGCTCATAATAACATTCGACCGCGAGGTGGATTTTATTTGGTCGTAAGCCTCCTCGCTTAAAATTTCCGGACAAACTCTGGATATCTTTCCTTCTAGCAAACCGAGAACCTCTTGGATTAAGTGGGCGTTTCTTTTCGCTCGATACTTTCCTCTCATGGCTGGAATGTACGTTCAATACCTTCCAGCTATCATATTGCGACTAACGAAATGTCACAGATGCGGCCGTGCCATCGACACTGTCGTCGTTTATAGGGATCCAATTCCCATACCACTCAATGCCTTGCGCATCTGGTACATCTGTCAGGTTCTGGTACTCCACTTGATGATGCTGGGAGCGGAAATTGTTATGATGGCTCGAGGTCCGTTTCATTCTATGTGTATACTTAGGCAATGCCCTGATTGGCATCTAGTCTATGCGCTGTATAGCCGCAATCGATATATTGGAGGAATTTTCCTTCTTCTTCTTCTTGGTGAAAGTACATCGGTCATAGTTGGCCTTGCGCTCAATTTGCCAAGCGAGATTTTTAATCCCGACGACCTGCTTACGACCTCTTCGAAGTCTTACATTTATTTCGGGTATACCTTCTATTCGCAATACTAGTAAGAACATCTCTGAATCCTCCATGTAGAGTCTCGGCAATGATTTCGCAAGTGGTCATTCTTGCTTTCTCTATATATCGATATATACGTGGGGACTGGAGAGGTGTTCCATTAGTCTCCCTCATGATTCGCGACGGAACACTTGCTTTTGGAGTACTTTTCTGTACGTAGCCATCCTCAATCACTTGAAATAATTCCAACATTATTGGGGTATAGTTGTTTCTCTCTTGTTGGTTATTTTCACAGCATCGGAAACATATCCCACACCTACATTTGCGTATGTGATCCATCTCTCACGATTACTCCTGGTTGACGAGTGACAGATGGTTGATCAACTTTATCTCGGCAGCTGTTCGTATCTGCTTCTTTACACACATCTGGTGCTCAAACGTTCACAGGAGTGCCGGCTTATTCTGAATATGCAGCAGATTCCTGTTCCATATAGCACCTACCGAACTTCTGATACACCGCTGACGACATTCCTCGTGGACAATAGTCGGCAAGCGCTGACGGATAGAGATCTGCTAGAAAATCAAACAGTAAGCGGTTTGACTCGTCTTCGCCATTTCGTTCTAATCCCAAGTAGACCAATATTGCAACCCCTTGACATTCATACCCTTTTAAGTTTGTATGACACTGTATATACTAGCTTCATCTGTATTATATCAATTGGGCGGAAATTAGGGCGGAATCTTGAATCAGTTTCCTTTAGGATGACTTGCACGTGATGTCCATTCCCTTTTTCCAATTCCCCGCCACGCCCTTGACTGTGAACTGGCGAGTGGAACAGGACGGGTAAAGCTCTGAGTTGCTTCTAGAGCAAGGGCACTGAAAATCTTCGTTCGAATATCTCGGAAGCCATACAGACTCGTGAAGGACGGGAACCGAGAAATACCTATGTGAGTCTTGTGCCCTGTATTTCGTCAAGGCCTTTCGTACTAGCGCTTTTTGCTGTAGTAGCTTTATGTCATGCCAACGCGCTACCATGCACAACGAATGCACATTGTATCCTCTGTGAGCGATATTCCATCGTCTCCAGCTTTCTCCCTGGTCTTACTGTCGTTCCAAGCTTGACACTTTGTTGTACCAGCTCCATGCGTTGTCCTTTTTCCTGTCGCCGTCAATATGGGCTCTATTTTGCCGCTACTTCATGCAGCAGCAGTGCGTCCGACCAAGAGACTTTGATACACATACCCCACGGTCATTGGGCGTCTGGCTCGGGCTCATTACCGTCATCAACGCATTCAGTGTCTACCCGCATGCGACGGAGGGGGCGTCCCAGGGGAGGACAGTTATCTTGGACTTTATTGGACTCAGTACGTCTTGTTTGGGCACTTGACCGTTTCTCACATTCTGTCTAGATTATGTGCCGTCGAAACTCCAACTCCTCTCACTTGACTTGTTCATTATGTGCCTCCAGATGCTCTTGGTGTTCATCGCGTACGAGATCCATGTCATCGAGAACACGAATTCAGTCGACACGCTCCTCCCTATACCCTCA